CTAGGAGAAAATATTTCCAGTACGCATTGCATATAAATGGCTAACATTCTCAACATTTAAAGGACGTTTAAAACTGGAAATAATAAAATTTAAAAATCTTATAGAAAAATGGGAGAAAGAGGTCACAAAAAGACATAAAAATGAATTACACAGGGCCAGGTACAGTGGCTCACGCCTGTAATTCTACAACTCTGGGAGGCTGAGGTAGGAGAATTGCTTGAGCTCAGGAATGGGAGACCACCCTGAGCAAGAATGATACCCTGTCTCAACTAAAAACAGATAAATTAGCCGGGCGCAGTGGTGACCCGCTATAGTCACAGCTACTTGGGAGACTGAGGCAGGAGATCACCAGAGCCCAGGAGTTTGAGGTTGCTCTGAGCCATGCTGACACCACTGCACTCTAGCTGGGGCAACAGAGCCAAATTCAATCTCAAAAAAACCCCAAAAAAACCATAAAAAGATGTTCAGCTTCACTCACAAAAAGACAAATAAAAATTAAAACTAAACAAATACCATTTCTCACGTATCAGGACTGGCGAAAATTCCAAAGTTTCACAACATACACTCGGTTACGGTATGAGGGAAGAGGGATCTCACTTTATTGCTTATGAGAATGCAAAATGGTAAAAACTGCTATGGGAGAGGCACTAACAAAACTCTTTACTTTTCATTTATCCTTCAACATAGCAAGCCCTAATTGTAGAAATTTACCCTGAAGATACACCTCTGACACTATGAAAATAGATACGTCACAAGGTTATTTACGCAGCTTTGTAACTCCAAAATAATGCAAACTACCCAAAGTTCCAAGCATACACAAGTGGTGGAATAAACCATACATGGAAAACTACACACAGGTATAGACGAGGATTTTCAGGAAATATTATTAAGTATAAGAAGTATAAAAAAGCATATACAGCATGCTACCATTTGTCTAACAAAATAGAGAAAATAAAAAACACACATACATCTGTGTATCTTGACAAAAGAAACACAGAGAGGATAAACCAGAAAACAATAAGGTTGGTGTATAAGGAATGGCAGAAGAGGACAGAAGCAATATATAAGGGAGTATACATTTTTTTGGAAACATGTTAAGAGTTCCACATACTCAAAATATAAAGTTAAATTAACTGGGATGGGAAGAAAGGAGTAAACATTAAAACTTAAAGAAATAAACTTAAGTAGGCCGGGCACGGTGGCTCACGCCTGTAATCCTAGCTCTCTGGGAGGCCGAGGCGGGCGGATTGTTTGAGCTCAGGAGTTCGAAACCAGCCTGAGCAAGAGCGAGACCCCGTCTCTACTAAAATTAGAAAGAAATTAATTGGACAACTAAAAAATACATAGAAAAAATTAGCCGGGCATGGTGGTGCATGCCTGTAGTCCCAGCTACTCGGGAGGCTGAGGCAGGAGGATCGCTTGAGCCCAGGAGTTTGAGGTTGTTGTGAGCTAGGCTGATGCCACGGCACTCTAGCCCGGGCAAAAGAGTGAGACTCTGTCTCAAAAAAAAAAAAAAAAAGAAATAAACTTAAGTAAATACACCATGCTTCAAATGAATAACACAACCTCACTGAAGGTAGGGGTGGAGGATGCTGTTAATCCAAATAACTCAGGAACATACTATTTGCCTATATACCCCAGTCTTAGGTAGAGGAGGGGAAGAGGGAGAACTGCAAATGTATCTCATATTCTTTTTAGTAGTTTTGATAATTGCAGTGGTATAGGCAACGAAACTTTGAAATGTATTAAAAGATTGAGTAAATGTGCTGATGTTGATGGCAGCCAGAGTTCTTACTCTGGGAGAAGACAAACAAATATAAAATGGGGAGGGCAAAAACAATACTGTGGAGACAGATTAGAAGTGAAAGTATCTATATGGTCTATTTCTAAAATATGTATAGTATGTGTACATGCATGTTTGTGTGAACATGGATATATGTTTATATATACATAATAAAAATGTACTTCATGTCTCTCCCCACAGAAAGGGCCTAGAAGCAAAAACACCTGAGTAGCAATGAGCATACCTGTGCCCAGATCCTAGTCTCTAATATCTTCTCCTATTGAAAGGAATGAGAGCTCCTTAAAAAAATGGCTAGCTCTAGGTATGACGAACGCAAGGTCAAGATAAGCCTGGAACATCCTTCCATGCCGTAAAGGAGGTGCTCAAAAATGATAAGAGGTTGTCACAAGGGTGCACAAGCCACCTTGAAGGGGCTCCTGCTGGCCAAATACGAAACAATTTCAGCATCAAAAGAAGTAAGGAAAGTAATGAATTATAGACCATTGAAAAATTAGAAATCCACAAATCCATACTGATAACAGAAGAATAAATAAGAAACAGATGAAAGGAAAGGCTCACCCTTACAGGAGAACACCAAAAGCCAATGGTAAATGCACAGGGAGGGACAATTTTGTTAAGAAGATATCCCTATGATTTAAAAGAACCTCCCAGAAGCTGATTATTAATTTGGGGGGGGGGGGCGCAGGGGGAGAGTAAGAGTAACCATACAATGGAGTCATCACAGAATACCTGAACCGGTTGAATAACATCACCAGTGAGGAGCAGATGGGCACAGCATGTCTCCCAATGTGATAGCCAGAGAAGGACACAACATTATTTATGTAGTACTCTAAGTGAAACGAATAAGCTGAATTAACCCTGAGAAAAGATCAGAACTCTTGAATGAGACAGTCTTTTAAATAACATTCAAAAATGTCATGGCCAGGCATGCTGAGACCCTCTCTCCAAAAAGAGAAAGTTTAAAAAAAAAAGTCATAAAAGGCAAGGAAAAACTGTGGTAACATTACAGGTTAAAGGAAACTAAAGAGACTACGACATAAATCCAACAGCTGATACTAGACAGGATTCAGTACTGAAAGAAAAAAATGCCATAGAAGACATTATTACATCAATTGGCAAAATCAGAATATGGACAGTAGACCAGATAAAGAATATTGTGTCAAGGTTAAATTTACTGAATTTGGTAGCTATACTTATTTATGAGAATTCCTTATTCTTAGGAAATACACCTTAAGTTTAAGAAGAAAGGCCCATTATACAGAAATCTTTATCTAAAATGGTTGAGGAAAAAAATAAGTATAAAGACTCACAGAATATCAATAATAAATCGAAAGGGAGCAATATGTTAACAATAGGCAAATCTGGATACGGAGTGTGCAGGTATTCCATGTGTTACTCTTGAGACATTCCTATCAGTTTGAAATTATTTCCAAATAAAAGTTTGCTTAAAAAGACTAAATTTTCGCAGGGCTTGGTGGCTCACACCTGTAATTCCGGCACTTTGGGAGGCCAAGGTGGGAGGATCAATTGAACCCAGGTGTTCCAAGTTACAGTAAGCTATGATTGCGCCACTGGAATCCAGCCTGGGTGATAGAGCAAAATCCTTTATCTTTACTAAAAACAAACTAAAACTAATTTTCATTAATCCCATTTTCCACGTAAGAAATCAAAGTTACAGAATCAGGATGAACCAGGTCAACAGGTAGAAACAGGTCAAAAATCTAGTATTTTTGGCCGGGCGCGGTGGCTCATGCCTGTAATCCTAGCTCTCTGGGAGGCATAGGCGGGCGGATTGTTTGAGCTCAGAAGTTCGAAACCAGCCTGAGCAAGAGCGAGACCCCCGTCTCTACTAAAATTAGAAAGAAATTAATCGGACAACTAAAAATACATATAAAAAATTAGCCGGGCATGGTGGTGCATGCCTGTAGTCCCA